GAGCATAATGGCAGCGTCTCAGTTAATTACTCTCAGCATTCTGCAATTAAGGATACATCTGCCCATCAATCTCCAACTCTGACATATTTATTTCCTTCATCATGTTTTCTTTACCACATAAACTAAGCTTGTTTGGTCCTTGATTCTGTTAAATGTCTTCATTGTGCTGTATGCTAATTTACTGCTTAAAAAGGTAAAGGTAAAGGTTCCCTTGCTCAAAAGCAGGTTGAATCCGACTCTAGTGTTGCAGTGCTCATCTCCGTTTCAAAGCCGAAGAGCCAGCGCTGTCCGAAGACGTTTCCGTGGTCATGTGACCGGCATGACTAAACACCAAGGCGCACGCAACGCTGTTACCTTCCCACCGAAGCGGTACCTATTTATCTACTTGCAATTTCTTGCTTTCGAACTGCTAGGTTGGCAGGAGCTGGAACTAAAGACGGGAGCTCACTCCATCATGTGGCACACTCGGGTTTCGAACTGCTGAACTACCAACCTTCCACAGCCTGCAGTTCAGCGTCTTAACCACTTGAGCCACCGCAGCTTACCCCCCACTTATATGTACGGACTGGTAACTTCCATTTCATTGTACCTGAAGAAGTGTGTGTGTACATGAAAGCTTATACCTTGAATAAAACTTAAAGGTGCCACTCAAACTTTGTTCTGCTCTACCTCTTGTCCAGGACAACTTTCATCTTTAGCTGCCCTGGTGATTCTCACTGGGCAGAAAGGCAAGGAAATAAATGTTGTAAATAAATAACATAAAACATTTGGCTCATATAGCATGGCTAAGAATAAGACCACCAGATATTAGGTTCATTCTAATCAATATGTGCAACAATTCTTCAACTCCCCACTGCCTTGCATGCCCCTCTAGTTCTCCAACACAACTTCCAAAATATATCCAAATGTCTGTCCCTTGGCTCCATAAGTCTCTCCCACATCACCCATCGTCCTTCCATTTTCTTGCCTCAGTTCCATGCCTTCCTCTGCCACCTCTTTTCCGCAGAACAACCTTCTCTTCATATTATAGCCCCTACTCTGCCCTCTCCTCCACACTGCACTGTCAACTTTCTAGTGCACATATTCACTCTGATCAGTTAAGAAAAAATAGGAAGAGTTTTCCAAATTCTCACAGCAGTTCAGCCTATGGCTGGGATGTAACTGTCTGAACCCCAAAGTTCACTTCCCGGCACCAGACAGGATCTTAGTGGTCCTGTTCTCGTTCACTGAGACTCACTGAAGAGAAGCCTCATCTGTCTTGTCATCAGCTTTTCCCCTTACCTATGACAGCCTACAATCTTCCAGACAAAAGTAGGAAACATAAACATCACCCTGAGTAGGAAAACTCTGGCACCACTTTGAAGGAAGGTGCACATGCCCTCCCAAATTTGGATGTATCAGTTCTTCAAAGCATTCTTACCAACATTTAAGGAGGAGCCAAATTTCCCAATTGATTTCTGTCTGTGGAAAACCAAGCATTTCCCCACAAACTTGTCAGGAACCAATTCTCTTTTTTAAAAAAGGTAGCAGGACTACCAGCATGCATACCAGTAAAATAAAATCTCCAGAGTCTGGAAAAGGCACAAGCCACTTTCAGAGAGTGACTGTCATCATTGACAAGAGCTATTACACAAAAGCCGTAATACTTGAAGGACTGTCTCGCCTGATACAAGCCCACACACCAGTTCAGATTGGCACAATGTCATCTGTTAGCATTTCCCTCTTTTCAGGAGAGTTGTCTCTCTTCTGTTAGAGCCACACCCTTCTCTCTAATTGCTCCTAGTTTGTGGAATATGCCTTGCCAGAGAAGGTGCATAGAGTGCCATCTCCCAACAAGATTTAGTAAGTTACATGAAGTGGCATAATTCCAACAGGACTTTGGGGTGTCACATCTGATCAATATGTTTCATTTGTCTGACGCTAGATTACTTTCTGGTCTTTGACCATTTGGATTCAGATCCAGCAGGCTTAAGGAAGAGGTAGCTTACTGAGCTTGCCTTATGCAGCTATTTTTGGTCTGGGTTTCTGTACTGGATATTTTTTTTACTCTGGCTATCTATGGATTTCAATTTTGTGTATTGTAATTGCAGTTTTATTGGATGTGTGCTGTAAGCTGCAATTTCACACATTCAAGAGCTGAACTTTAATATTACAAGCAGGTACTGCACCTAAACCCTGACAACTGCTCTGAACTAAACTATGGCTTTTGCTCACACTGGAGAACACCAAAAGAGTGTATTCAACCTAGATATGAATGTTTGCAAGATGATCTGGCAGCTGCAAGCAACCCCTCTGCCCATGTTTCAGATGCACATTCTCAGCCCTGCTTCAAATGAGTTACACCCATCAATTGCTGGGGTGGCAGTTTTATACTGTGGTAGCAGTTTTACTGGGATGCTATAAAAGTCACACTGGGGAGAGTTCATTTAATTCATTTAATGTGCAGGTGAGTCGTTGTCTTTTACGGTGTAAGAATGGCTGGATGGAAGCAGAATGGACCAAAAGAGAACTCTGCTGTTCTGCTAGGAAGTCAAAGTCTGCTACTGGCTGCAGAGGATATTGAAAAACCCACCCTCTCAGTTTCCTGAAGAGACAACAAATAATTTGGCTTGGCTCAGTGAATAGCCTTGGATAATCCCCATGTGCTCAAGCTGAATTCACACCTGAAGTGCCAGCAAGACAGAACACCTTGCTCAAGGCCAGAAGAGTGAAGCTGTGGCAAAGGAAGGACTGGAATCAACCAATGCTCTTGTCCCTCACACGGGTTTCTGGGTTAATACACTGACTACCAAGTGATTTTCAGTCTTTCTTCCAAACATGGATTTTGAGTCTCATTGGTTTAGAGAACAAAGTTTGAGTCCATTGGCACCTTTAAGACCAACAAAGGTATATTCACGGTATGAGCACAGAACCCCTTCAACCATTACTTATGGGGGCGGAGGCTGTTGTCAGGAAGGGCCATTTAGAGTCAAGATGCATAAGTACTGGGTGATTATAGCTGAGATAGGATGCAAAAAAGATCTGAGAATGGCAGTATATTATCATACAAATACTAGAGTTTGAGTCCAGTGGCATCTGCAAGAAAAATAAAGTTCAATTCTGGGTACAAGCGAGAACTGAGACACTTAGTATGTACACTAATTCAGATTCATTGAAACAGATTTCCTCAAGTATTACATATAGGTTGGGGGGGGGGATTAGTTGCCAGGAAGAGCCAATTAGAGTCAATATGCCTAAGTAACTTGAGCAATAAATACAGCTAAGATTGGAATAACACATTAGGTAAGACATATAAATAGCAGTAAGATGGTATATAGATAATAAAGGAGTTAACAACATACGTGAGAACTACGTTTGAGTCAAATGGCCCCTCCAAGATCAACAGTTTGATTTCTGGGTATAAGTGAGAACTGAGTAACTTAGCATGTATAGTGGGATAAGAAGCCAATATTTCTGTTAAGTCATGGGGGTTCCATTGTTCTTAGTGTTGTAATAACTTGTAATTCAGCAGTCTCCTGTTCCTGTCTGTTTCTGAAGCTGCTTTGCAATAAAACAGCTACTCTGAGGTCCCCCACTGAGTGTCCTGGAAGACTGAAGTATTCTCCTACAGGTTTCTCAGTCTTGTGATTCTTGATGTAAGATTTGTGTCCATTTATCCTTTGGCATATGGTTTGGTTTGTTTGTCCTAAGTAGAGAACATTTAATGGCATACACTATGTTGGAAGATGAGCACGTGAATAAGCCTGAGATGGTGTAGTTGATGTTGTTAAGTCCAGTGATTGAGCTGTCTGGGTATATGCGGCAGCAAAGTTGGCATCTGGGTTTATTGCAAGCTCTGGTATCACACATTTCCTGGGCTTACATAGCTGAGGAGTTTAGTCATTTTTTTGTCTCTTGGCTTGGAATAATTTGAAACCAGCTCCATTTGAATCTGCTCTGCATCCTGCAGACAATGCAGGCTTTAACAGGGCTGAACACTATGTCCCTTTCCCAAATCCTTTTTAAAATAAGAGTTCAGGTGAACTCAAAAGCTTGCACTGTTATGGGCCATTCGGTTGGTCCTAACAAAAAAATATTATGTGGGTTGTGTCCTTAGGGAGAACCCTGCTAAATGAGACCAAGTGCCCATCCAGTCCAGTATTCCAATCTCAAACAGGAAAAGATCAGGATCCAGTTCACTCTCCATTTCCAGTGGTGGATGAAGTACATCCCAGAGGCACCAATCAGGTCAGTGATCCAAAGGCCAAGCAGTGCCCCTCTTTATGCTCAACTGAATATTCAAATCAGAAAGAGGGCCATTCCCCCCCTCCCAACAGACCTGATCTCCCTGTCCCATCTCAACCAGACGCAAACCACTACTACTGCACTCTCATTCGGACAAGCATTTTAATAACGTCATTCATTACGATTTCTCTCTGGCACACCCTAAGTGCTCCTCTTTTGAGAAAATGTGCGTAGGAGAGGAAAGGTGCACAAGAGACGTGCATGATGCAGGGCCTCATTCATTCCGACAAGCCGATGACGCAGGCAAGCAACATGGCAATCAGTTTTGATGGCCACCCCTCATAAGCCTGGAGCGCGTCAGTGCCGTAACTCTTGTGCTTTCAATTCCGCCTTCCAGCACCGCTGGCGGCAGTAACACCTGGGCCCCGCTGGGGAGAAGCTTTAAATCTATCAGGCTGCCCAAGAGACTTGTTTCTCCCCCAAAGCTCACACTTAGCTCAGCCGGGCAGGAAAGGCGTGCATGTGTACGCTGCATTCCATTCGCACACCACCTCTCTATCAGGCTTGGGACCAAGAAAGCGAGCAAAGAAATTAATCAAAGCATAACGAGCACCATGCACACCTTTAAATCCTAATACACAGACACACTGCCTGGCTTCATTTATGACAAGGGAAGGTGGAATGCCAGGACGCTTGGTTACGCTCTGCACATGCCCAGAAACCCCCCCAGGTCAACCTCCACCCCTGGCCCTGCTTGCTGCCTTTCCCCTCCTTACCTCCAGCTCCTTGAAGAAGAGGCAGCTGCGAGCCCACTCCACAATGGCGAACAGGGTCTGATCGGCCATCTTACACATCAGGCCAAAGGGGCTGAGCTTGTCATGGCGGCTCTTGGCCTGCTCCTGCTGCAGGCAGGCCAGGATGCGTGCTTTGACCTGTGTCTCGTCGGGTTCCAGCTGCAGCAGTTTCAGGATCACGTCTGGAACATCGGGTGCAGCTGGTGAGCTGTTGGGATAGGCCTCCGGGTAGGTGTAGGCCGGGGCAGCCTCGTGAGGGTGCGCATAATGGTCGGGGTACTCGGACTTGATGGCCCGGCTGGGGAAGGATGGGTAGTGGTAGCCCGAGAGTGGCCCGTGGCCTGGCACTGGCATGCCCATGGCTGGGGTCCCATAGGGGCTCCGCTCATAGTCAACAGGCGTCATGGCGGTGGGCTGCAGGCCCTTGGAGGCTGGGTGGGCCACACCGTGCAGGGAGGCGGGCAGGCCGTAGTCCGCCTGCACGGGGGACACAATCTGTGGCGCGGTCTCCAGCTTGAAGCCGTTGGCCCGGATCAGTGCTTTCTTCTGCTGCTTTAAGGCACGGTCTCGCTTGTACATGGGCCCAAACTTGTTCCGTCCCCCTCGCATGCGGTCGGCACGCACGGCTGCAGGCAGGGAGAAGACAGAGGTGTCAGAGTGGGGGGCCACAAGGGCTCAGATGGCATTCTGCATCAGTTGCATTCACACCCCGCCTCGCAAGCACGCATTCACATATCCGCCGGTTACACTGCAACTGGTGGGTTAGATCTGACAGGCCTCTGGGAAGGTGTTAAGCAACCGGTTGGTTGGGAGCCATTCTAGTCATTGCCTAGCAACCCTGAAGGTTATTCTCGACACCCTCCACATGGAACTGGGGAGTAAAGGGTGAGCCGGAGGACTGCAGAGAGGGGGGTGGAGCGGTGCGCGTGGCCTTGTGGGTCCCAGCCAGGTCTGCTGCAGCCCATGTGGCCACCTTGGCAGAACTCGGCCTTGTTTCTTCCAGGGGCCCAAGAATGTGTCAGGGCGCCGGGAAGCAGGTGCTTCTTTGCAGCGCGTTTGGGACTCCGGACAGCTGGAGGCTCTGCCCCCGCCAAGTGCCTGGGAGGGTTGAGCGGAGCGGCTCTCCTTCGGGGGAAGGGCTGCTGCAGCCGCCCTCGGGCCTCTCTCCCCGCCAGCTCCAAGCCAAGGCCTGCAGCAGGCTCCTTGAGAAGGCGAGGACAGGGATCGAACAACGGTTCCAGCCGCGAAGCTTGACTCCCCCGTCATGGAAAAGGCCCAGTCGCTGTAAAAAAGGATGCGGCTTCGCCTCCCACATTCCTCCGAAGCGAGTTGCCTGCAGAAGGCGTTTGGATCGTGGCTGCATTTCGCCGCTGCCAGCCACAACCGACAGCAGCCAAGGCCTCAATGGGCCTTCGGCGACGAGGCGCTTCCAGCGCTCTACTGTAGTGGAGCCTCTACAAGCCCCGGCATCTTGGGCCCGGCTCCTCCCCCGGCCGGCCTGCTGAGCAGCAGCACGAAAGCGAAAGTGAGCCGGGGCTTGCGATGGAACCCGCCGCGCTTTCACTGCAGCGCCCAAGACCCACCCCACGTGCTTCGACACACGGAACTCTTCCCTCAGTGTGTGTGTGTGTCCCCAAAAAACTTGCTGCCAAAATTTTATTTTGTTGTAATATTTTAGAACACATTCAGCGATGCATCCAACTTCAGTAAAGCAGACGGACTTCTGGAGATTGCAGGCACACACAAATAGTGCAATTTGTTTAAAATTATTGTTCTTAACTGTTTTAACCTGATCATTAATGTATTTATATTGTATTAATGTATTTATATATTGTGATGCCGAATGGCCCTGTGATTCGCCCTGTGCCCACTCGTGGAAGAATAATAATAATAATAATAATAGATAGAATAGAGGAGGGGGGGAGGGTGGCTTGGGTTCATATTCGGACTTAGTCGTAGGCCCCCTGTGTGATCTGGCCACCGCCTTATTTGAGGCTCATTATCTGTCTGTGGAATGGGGGCATTCAGACTACCTCACAGGGCTGTTGTGCATAGGTTTGAGGTAATAACCTAGGAATCCTCCCCCCCCCACGGAGGAGACTGCGCCTTCCAGCCCCCCTTGCGCACCGACGGCGCACTCTGCTTTGCCCCCTTCTCCGGCGAGCAGCGGCTCCCCCTCCCCTCTCCCGGGCACTTTGGAAATCCCGGGCGGGAGCCTTCGCACACTGGATCGGGGCTGGGAGACTGCCGGGAGTCCCCTCCCCAGATCGATCCTGTCACGCGGACTGCAGTGCCTTCCTTGCCGCTGAAGCGCCGCTGCGGAAGCGTCGCTTGGGATTTGTCTGCCCGGGAAGTAGTGGGCGCCAGGGGACGCGTTTTCACCCGGCAAGAAGACCAGCCAAAGCCCAGGGGTGGGTCATTCCCCCTCTGCCCCCCCCCCGCCCCCGCGCCAGGGAGGCGAATGCGGGGGGCTCCTCTCTTCCCTCCCCGAAGCGAAGTCCTTTAAGCCGGCTGGCTGATCCAGTGCGGGGAGAAGCGGATCGCGATCGCAAAGGGGAAAGTACTTTTAATAACTGCCCTTCCAAGACAGAAATCAGAAACCAGGTTTGGAGACAGAGGACGGTCTACTGGATCCCCCCCCCTTTCCCCCTCACTTCCGCACGTGTCAGGATCGGGCCCAGAGGGATCGTCCCTGCGCCCCGCATTGAAGCGAGTCCTCCGGCGCGCTTGCTCTGGAGCGCCTTTTGCAACAACAGGAATCTCGCGGCACTTCTAGGCTTAAAGGCTCACAGATTTATTGGGCTGGAGCCTAGAAAGACTTCGGCTTCCATAAATCGGCGAAGGTGCCAGGGGAGCCCTTTTGCCTTCCGCTGCGACAGACTGACGTGGCTCGGCTACCGCGTTGCCATTTAGTCTCCCCAAAGAACACAGCCCCAGGCCTGCAGCAAAAACAGGCAAAGGGCGTCACGTTCCCAAAGGTTCCTCGACCACCCTGTCCCACGGGAATCAGGACCAATGGAAAACGCGGACCGTGTTTTATGGCCTAGACGAGAAGAGTGTGCCTCTGACCATGCGCGGAGCGCCTTTGCATACCCACCGGCAACGGATTCAGCACAGCCCCCCTGTGGGCCCTCTGCTCTGTGCGTGTGGCTTGTGGACAGCCAGGAGCTCCCCCCCCCCATCTCTTCCTCCAAGGACCGCGCACGCCCAAGAGTCTGGCTAAAAGGCCTCGGTGGAAGGAAGCGGAGGGGCCGCCAGGATCCGCCAGCTGAAGCTCTCTCTCCCCCCGACTGACT